AGAGAGAATTTCTGTCTGCCTCTCTTCTCCACCCTCCCTCCCGTCACTCCTCCAGACCAGTGGGACCCTGTAAAGATGCAGCTCTATGAGAAGGCAGACTTCGGGGGCCAGGCCTTCGAGGCACAGTAGGACTGCCCCTCCCTCCTGGAGAAGTTCGCTGCGGGAGGTCACTCCCTGCAAGGTCTTCGCGGCTGGGTGGGTTTTCTACGAGCACCCCAACTACCGCGGGCGCCAGTACTTCCCTGGAGAAAGGGGGAGTACCTGCAAAGCCCTGGCGACTGGGGTGCCATCAACCCCACAGTCCGTCCTTCAGGGCGCTTCACTGAATGATTCACCCTCCATCCAAAAACATGTCAAACTTGCTATGATCCATGTCAGGGCACTTTGAGTCTCTGGACTCTGATTTTCTGAGGTCTCACAAATAAAAACCTGTCCAGCAAGCTGAACTGACGTTTAAAGAGTCCTTTAATGTCTCATTGTGTGTCCTCGATTCTTAAGACATCACACTGCAGCGCTCAGTAACACTACATCTGGTCTGAGGTCAGTTAATCTGCATCATCCAGGAGGGAGGATAAAGTCACTGATTTTGGGGATAGAAACACTTTCATCCCAGCGCAGGTCTGAGGTCCACGGTGACGGGCCGAGGGTTGACATGAGTCCCGAAGGAGAAACAGTTCCTCCCGCCTCCCATCAGGACCAGCTCAGGTTCTTTCTAGAGTCTGTCGGCTCCGAGCCAGAAAGAGTGGAGCATCAGAGGCCAGGGCACCGAGGTCTGCAGAGGAGCACAGGGATTTATTAATCAGCATCATGTCGAACACAAACACAAACACACGGTGTGTCCATCGGCTTCACAGTTCAAGGTAATGACCGTAGTCCAGTCTGAGCTCCACGCTGCTCCGCGTGCTGAGGTCGATCACCACGACTGCCCGGCAAACCGCCGTCTGAATGCAGCAAAAACTCCGCCACCCAGCCCAAGCTTCTCACCAATCACATGGGCAGAGTGAGAGTATCTAAAACAACATCAACATGACATCAGACCTTATGAACCGTGTTTTCAGTTTCAAGGGCGGCGTCTGATGTTGTGAAGTTTTTGTCACAGACCTGGGAACAGGAGGGGGCGCACTCTATCCTTTCCCAGGAAGAAGCTCTGTCTGTGGGCCTTAATACGACCGTGTCCCCCAACAGGACCCCCCATCTGTCCAGGCCTCCGAACGCCACCACAACCTCCCTGATGTGGACAGGCTAGTGCGAGTGGCGGGCCTCTGGAGAGCTGCACCCTCTACTGGGATCTGTAAAGTTTACAGCACAACAAACACAAACAACACACACACACGGCGCACACACACACACACCTCAGTGTCTCGCTGTGGGACATTAAAGCCTCATTAATGTAGAGATCAATGAACAGGGCAAACCTCGTCCAGTGCTTGCTGGTCAAGACACAGGAAGTGGGGCGTCACCCAGAGCGGCCTGTGATGTCATTCTTTCCACCAAACACAACAGGAAGTCTTTCCCTGCAGAGGAAAAAAAGGAGAAGGTGGTGAGGCGATGAAAAAAAGAAAGATAAAGAAAGAAAGACTATACGTCCTCTGTTATCTCAACCTTTATGACTGAACGTTGGTAGCGGTGTGCCTGCCATCTTGGCGGCGGTGGGTCCGCCTGTAAGCAGCCATCATGCTCAGCACACAGTCTCACGTGCATTCTGTCTCCGGGTCCCAGGACGCCGGCGCACCAACAGGGGTCCAGGGTTACTCACTGAAAGGCTTGTGATTGGGTTGATGAGGGAGAGGAGGCGGCCATCGTAGACCACAGTGACACATTCAGCAGCCGTCCCTCGGGAGAACCGAAGGCGTGGCGGTGTGGTAGAGCGGCTGAGGAGGACGACACGACAACACAGCTGTTGTGTGAAAATCTGCTTCTCTGTGAATCGGTGATTTTCTACACAGAGCTGGTGGTCCTCACCCAGATCTACTAGACGACGGGCTCCCACGGCTCGACAGGAGCTCCAGCCTCCCGGCTGTCGAGAGAGGAGTCTAGTCACTGCCCCGGCCTCCTCTGCTGGAGCCTCCTGTTAGCAGGACCTGCCCTGGACTCAGCAAGGTGGAAGGCATCCCCAGCACCCCTCCATAACAGACTGGGAGAGTCTTACACTCAGGGCTGCAGGGCTCCACGACGGGCTCATCTGAGTCGGCACCGGACACGGAGACACTGGAGGAAAAAGAAGGAAATACCATTCTCAGCACACTCGAAAACAAAAGAGTTTTAAAGACGTCGTAAGGTTGACGTTACGGAAGGTGAAGGCGGAGCTACTGCAGGACGTGTGAGTAACGCCTAGCGCTGTTGAAGGAGCCTCGAGACGCAGTGAGGACGAGTAGTGGAACATTTCTGTGGCCACCCCTGAGGATGGACAGACACCGCTGTGAAGTGTTCTGTCCGATATTATCACTTTAAAGCCCTTTGGTGTTTTATACAGAAAACTGTAGAACAACACATTTTCACAAGAGAAGAAGAGATTTGCATTCCTGTCAATTGTTTATTTCTAGCATTATAATATGTTTTACATACAAACACATGAACTTTTTGACGATGCTATAGTGATGTTAACGGGTTCCTAGTGCTAGAATACAGGAGGACATGTTTCTGTTATTTTACAACAGGTAGATGGTTTTCAGTGTCTCCTTGGAAACACTTCTGTTGTGTTGTGATATTAGCAGCTCATGTGTCGCCGATGGTTTGGATTTGCATTCTCAGGGCTGCCGAGATAAGTGTCATATAAGCACCTTTTTGTCATATCAGTAAAAAACTTTTTAAGGATAACGTTAAGAACTTTATAAATAGGATGCAGAGAAGTCTGGAAAAACCTCGGACTTGACACAAGCTAAAAGCAGGAATACAACAAGTCGGTACCGTCGAGCAGGCGTTGCTATGGTGAGGTCAGGCGGTAGGTGTACACCATGGAAGAACCTCCTGCTGTGATTTGTGATCGACCTTGTGTGTCCACTGGGTTTTAAAAACAATAAAGTTAGATTCATCCAAAATAAGATGCTTTTCAGACTCAGCTCACCTCATATTCATCAAAAGGCCTCCAGGACCTCCACTCTGCTCCTCTCCTCCTCAGGGACCAGCCCCAGGTAGAAGTCGTTCATGTCAGCAGACACACACACTGCTCCCAGCCTGAACACACACAAGCACAGGCAGCCACATACATCAGTTAGTTAACCTGTCCTCTACACTCTAACATTATAATGGGATATATATAACATATTATAACTATACTATATAGTATATATATATATATATGTGTATACTGGCCTTGTCCAGGAACCTGTGTGTCTGTGCGGCGGCGTCTGGGTACTGTCGCAGGGCGTGCAGGGTTGAGTTTAGTTTCAGGAAATGATCCTGCATGACCCGACCGAAGGGGTCGTGTGGACGGATCTGCTCGTACATTACGAAGAGAGACTGAGGAAGGAGCTTTGCCGCCCAGCAAATGACGACATCTGACCTGGAAGACACACGACACACACCGGATGATCCTGAGTATTTGTCTAGATGTTGTGATCCTGTGATGAAAACACACGCTGATGAAGTCCTCGTTCTCGTTTTACAGATGTGTTTACCATTGTGTTTCCATGTAGGTGAGCACCACCTCAGAGAGAATTAGAGTCGGAGCAGCCCAGTCCAACCCGGCTGCACCCAGAGCCTCCTCCACCTGGGACTCCTCTCTGATATCCAGCCCCAGCAGACGGTACTGACCACTGGACACGTAAACAGGTCCTGAACACACACACACACACACACACGAGCTGATAAAATCTAACATCACTCGAATAACAAGTGTGTTTCAGGCTGGATTTCTGAACAGAGAAAGTGCGCTGACATCACAGACCTGTAGGAGAAGGTAAATGGGGGTCTAACATCCCCCTCAGTGTGATGTTAGAAGTGATGAGGGCGGTCTTTCGCCGAGCGACATCTGGGAAATCCACCTCGAACACAACAGCTCTGTGAAGCTCTTCGTCTGCGTGCAGGCGAAAATACAACGAGTCGAACCCGGCGCCCAACGACAGAATCTAGAGAAAGGGGGAAAGACGACGACAGAGGAGGAGGTGACGGATTTCTTCAGAGTGAAAACCCTCCAACAAAACACAGTGACAGTGACCTGTGAACTCACCTGCCTCCTGGGGCAGTTTTCAGTGATCTGTAGAAACCTCGTCACACAGTGATCCACGGCTCTCCAGCGCACGTAGTAACCCCTGAAGCACACGACTGAACTGAAGGGTCTGATATGTACAACCTTATTTTTCTACTTCATTTGATGGATCCCAGAGGAGAGAAAGCCCAGACAGACCAGTATCATATCACTTATTACATTTTATTACCTGTCACTGTCTGACCCACAGTATAAGCCCAGGTAGGATTAGTCAGTTAGGACAAGTTAATCACAGTTTTAATGATCAATTAATCTTGTAACTGACACACGTGGTTTTGTGTGTGAAGATTTGCTGTTATTCTCTGTTTAAAGTCACTTTAAATTGAATGTATTTGATTTTAAAACTGTTTGTTGGTCGATTTTGCTTTTGTCTGGGATTTTATGAACCAAATGAATAACTGATAAATTCAGAAAAATAAAGCAGCTGATCGTTCATTCAGTCCGATGAGCTTAAAGGTGTCGGCCGACCTGTTGATGAGCGGAGCTCTTCTGGACACTTTGCACACAAAGTGCTGCAGGAAGACGTCGTGGAAGTATCCCTGCGCTGCAGCAGACACCTTGCTCACCACACTGCTGTCGTTGGTTCCCTGCACCTGGGTCAAGCCACGAAACAGAGCCATCAGATGTGTCAATGCCAGTAAGTGTTCAGGTACTTTATGTAAGTAAAAATAATAACATCACACTGTAAAAATAATCCATCCACTTAAAGAAAACTCATCAAAAACAGAAGCACTTGATGCAGAGAAATAGCCACTGTGGGCGTCACGCCGTTGTACAGTAATTTATTAGATTACTGATGTATTCATGTGTAAGTAACATTGAACTGTTGTTGCATTTTATAGACTGTTTAATTTATTACAAAGCTTCATATTTTCAGTGGTGGAAGACGTAATATAAAACTCATCATGTTATTATCACATTAGATTAAAAAAAAAAAAGATTTACAATGAAGATTAGATTATCAAAATATCTGCTGATTCATTTTCTGGCCAACAACTTAATCTATGTTTATGTATGAATATTATTACTGTTTTTATTATCATTCTATTGTTGCTACTTACTACTTTTGTTTCTCTTCATATTTTTTCTTTTCTGTTTTTTGTTCTTATAAAAGGAAAAAATCTATAAAACATTAGTTATTAAAAACAGAAACACTATGTTTTTATTTTAAATTCTAATCTCGTATGTATCTATGAACTGTATCTGTCAGATAGTTTAAGTAGAGGCATAGAAATAGTTTAAAATGGGAATAAGTAAACGAGTTAATGCACTGCACTACTTTCCACCACTGTGTGTTTTCTAAAGTTAGGGTTTTAAATGTGAAAATGTAATTTAGGATGTAAAATAAAGTATATGTGCAATATGCACATCTGAATTGTAGCACTGTGAAAATATACAGCAGCATATAATGGGAATACTCAAGTAAAGTACAAGTGCTTAATATACTTAGTTAGATTCCACCACAGTATATTATATATATATTATATATATGTTTTATTCATATTATACTTATACTTGACTGTATATATCAGTAGTGGGTGAGGTGGACGTTACCGCGGTGTCTCTCCCCTGCTTCTTCTTCTTCGTGTTGGTCGTTGGCATGATGTCGCTAAACCGTCACACACACAGACACTGTGCCGAGCAGAAAATGCGCTTTAACGGGACAGTTTCAGCTGAAGTCCCTGAACACCTCCATGACAGGGAGAGCACGGGTCAAAATAATTCAAACATCCGTCACGTGGTCAAGACTTCCGTATTCCCGCCGCCCTCCCTTCGCTCTTGCGCCCCCCTGCGGTCTGGAGGCTGCAACTACTGCCGTTCAAAACTCCGTTCAGATAACTGTACATTTAAGAGGTCTACTGGAGGAAGTAAACACTCAGGGATCCAACATGGAGAGGGCCCTCACCTCAGTAGGCCTTTTCCTAAAAACCTTTAAGTTTATTTTGTCTCTCCAATCTTAATATTTGAAGTTTTACTGTTTCAGGATAGTTTAATGTTGGTGTGTATGATCGGCTGCAGGCCCATCATCACGTTACTGAGAGCTTCAAACAAGCTGAGATCAGAAAGTGGCTCCTAAAAGTATTTCAAGCAGTTCACACAGAAATTAGATTTGCAACAATAATACCAAATAGCCTGTTCTATTATGCGCTATAAGTAAGTATTATATACATATATATATATATATATATATATATATATAGATACAATTATAAATGCTTATAATGTTTAACAAGTCATAGCTCTTGAAATATGTTCATTTTACTAGTGTTTCTGATCAGTTTTACCATTGAGCAGACTTTGTTAAATGCATTATAAACACTTCATAGCTGATTACGTGTATGTTTACTTGTAGGTTCAGGTATGACAATGAATATTTTAAGAAGCCAAGGCGGCAGCAGCCTCAGTGGGCACTGAGGGCCCAGATTTTTGTGCTATGCTACTGCCTCACTTTTCTGTGCGTAATATATACCATTATTCTTGCGGTCATTTTGCACCTTTAATAGTCATTTTGTGTGTCTTTATCTATATATATACCAATGGCTATTAGCTATGGATGAACAATAGAATGGACAAAAAAACAAAACAAAAAACATTCTCCTAAATGAAAAGGAACCTACTTGTGCAACAACTGAGATGTTTCTAGGCCAATAAGCCTGCTTAGAAATAATAGAAGAGAGGCAACCCTTTTAACCCCAGAAGCTGCCTGAGAATCATCATATTTTTACGTTTTCTTCAGCATATAACGAATCCACTGATAGGTCTCTGTACACTGAATGACACACTACAAACAGGGACTGCTAATATAAAATTCGGATTAGTTAATTTTTCCGATAATCGATAATATTGGACTACTTTCTGTCAAATCAGGCGGCGCTGGCTTCACAATGCGGTTTCTCGTCTTTACGATTGACAATGCGGCACTGAGTGCGCATGCGCCAGCTTACAGGAAGTGTGTTAACATTTTCTCCTACCAGCTGATAGCCAAATTGTCAACAGTTAAGCCTGCGATACCTGCGCCGCTGAAACGACGATATACACGGTAAATACCTGAATGTTGTCCTCGCGGTAGGGACATGTTAGTCAGTTGGACGTGTTGTGTTAACGTGTTTAATCGGGCGTCGAAATTTAAAGCTTCGATCCAGTTTCGTCTCGTCCGAGCTGAGCGGTGTCCAGTTAGCACATAACGCCAGATAAGGGCTTCTGATCTGATAACATGTATTACAGGAGTCATGTCATAGGGAGCGGGTGCAGGAATATCAGCTGATCTCAGTGCGGACTCTTCCCAACATGAAGCCGAGGTTTGACTCGTGTTTCACGGGAGTCTTTTTTTTTTTTTTTTTTTTTTTTTTTTATTTTTTGCTGCAGTGATGATCCTCAGCGCTGTGCTCTGTTGTGGGGGGGGGCATCAGACCGAGGCGCAGCATCCCTGTTAAACTCTGTCCTCACTGCCGGGAATGGGGCATTATTTTCAGACTGTGATCACATCGGGCAGAGATGTAAAGCAGCTGCAATGCAAACGTGTATCCAGCTGTACATTGATATCATGTCAATGAACCCCCCCCCCCCCCCCCCCCACCCCTCCCTCGCGCCTCCTCTCAAAGAGGGATTTTTGTTGCGTTGAGAAAGAGAGAAAAGTGACATTCAGGGGTCATCAGTTAGTTTTAGTTGTCTACTTCTTCAATGACAGAGACTAACATAGTTTAGGTGCAGAGAGATGTCCCTGCATGTTGTCAGTGAGTTTATTTATTGAGACAATAAAACAGATTTATAAAACTGTTTTATTATAGTATCTGGGGGCAGTTGTAATTTTTCCAGGTGCAGCAGTTTGTGTTGGTGTGAATCTCACTTGGTAGAAATTAAAAACACAAATGGATGGAACTATTTGTATAAATAGTGACCGGTTTTATTCCTATGATTGAATATAAGCACTGTTGTTATTAGGGCTGCAGCTGACAATTATTTTATTATTTTATATATTTCATTGATTAATCTACCAATTATTTCCGTGACTAGTCAATAATTTGTTTTGTCTATATGTGTAAACGTCAGAAACTATAGTTTACCACAGCCCCAAGCAGCTTTATTTAAACGTCTTGTTTGATTCCACCTTCAGTCTGAAGATATTCAGTTTCAGTTTAGTGTCATAAACAATGAGGAAAAGCATCAAAGCCTCAGTTTTTGGACCTGGAACCTGCAAATATTTGGTATTTGTATCTGAAAATGTCTGGAAACGACTGATTATAAAAAATAGTTGCTTGTTCATTTTCCGTGAATCAGCTAATCAGGTAATTGTTGCAGCTGTCCTTGTTATTGTTGCCATAGAAAATCAGTGCACCATGACTGTTAGACTGCTGCCTGTGATTATTTGATTATTGGGATTTATTAGGAGTAACAGAAGCCTGTTATTTACATTGTTACCTACAGAAGAAACATTATGCAAAAGATTTGATGATAAACTGTGAAAGAGAAAACTTCAGATTTTATTTGGGGGCAAATGTTTTTGTTGAAGGGCCAGATTTGGCCCACAGGCCACTGTTTACCCACCACTGATTGTGTCACGATGCAGCTGCAATTCAAACTTGTGTGATGTGGATTCATGTTAGATCTCCCCCCTGATAAAACCCTGATCTTCAGACGGTCTGGATCCACTGAGAAGAGGCTTTTGTTGCCTTGAGAAGGACGGAAATGATGTAATCATGCACCAAAATAAAAACTTTTCACTTCCTCACGCAGATCAAACACGGAGAGAAGAGAGGTCCAGACGTCGTCAGCGAGTCCCGACTGCTGTCTGTTTTGGAGGACAGTGACTGACATCCCCCGGGAGGAGGCCCACCAGCCCCCCTGCCGTCTCCTACGCGGGCCGGTATGAGCTCCAGAGGGAGTGGAGGCCGCACCAACGGCACGCTGCCGCAGACCAAGATCTGCCAGTTCAAGCTGGTGCTGCTGGGTGACATGGCCGTGGGCAAGTCCAGCCTGGTGCTGCGCTTCGTCAAGGGACAGTTTGACGAGTTCCAGGAGACAACCATAGGAGGTGAGGAGGGGGGGGGGGCAACAAGGCTGTATGTTAAACAGGTAGAAATACAACAGTGTAGAGATGTTATGATACAAGTTCAGAACTTCATGTGTGATTTTACTGGATGCATCGATCTGTACATGAATCCTGTGTAGAGCTGCAATCATTGATCAGCAAGTATTAGTTAATTTATAAGAGAAAATATCTCATGGTGGTTCCAGCGTTTGTCACACACGACAGTGAAGTGAACTTCTTCGGGTTTTGGACTTGGAAAATATCGATTAATAGAGAAAGTAATTGACAGATAAATTAGTAATGAAAGTAATAATTAGTTGAGGATTAATGATTTAATGTTGCAGCTGGTAAAGATGGAGCTAATTTGAACTACTTTATATACTGCCAGACTCTTTATTTATCTTTATTTAATCAGACGGTCTCATCGAGATTAAAATCTCTTTTCCGAGAGAGACCTGGGAACAAGAAGCAGTCACAAGACACAAACAACAAAGACAACAGAGCTGCACAATACAAGAAACTAAGAGACGAAGAATTAACAAAAACATTTACAACAGCCATAAATACATCAAATAATAAAGATTTAAACTCTCCAAGGGAAATGTAAAACTCTATTTAAATGATGCACAGAACCTGAAACCAGTTCTGCCAACATTAGTGCGAATAGAGGGATGTCGAGGGTTAAGTGAGTAGATATCTTGATCTATAATATTATATTATGAATATAAAGGTATTAGCTGATTGTATTTTGTTTTAATGAAGCTGTCAGATAAATGCAGTATTTTTAGAAGTAGCATAAGATGTGCAGTGACTTCAGTCCTGTACTTCAGGCTGCTCACTGACACTCTGAATAATGATATCCAGTCCTGACCACCGCTTTGTATCATGATGCCTTTATGTTCCTGTGCGATCTGCAAGCTCCATAACGTCCAATACAGTAAGTCTCGTGTACAACGTTACACAAAAAACAGCCGAGGAGTTGTGTTCTTTACGTCACACCCCCCCCTGGTGCTCGGAGAGATATATCACACCTGTACAGCACCTGTCTTTGTATCCACTGCAACATGGTGAGTGATGGTGTGTGTTTTTAAAACCACCTGTTGACCCGTCACCCGTCTGTCTTCATGTCCAGCTGCGTTCCTGGCCCAGTCCGTGTGTCTAGATGACACCACGGTGAAGTTTGAGATCTGGGACACTGCAGGTCAAGAGCGATACCACAGCCTGGCCCCCATGTACTACAGAGGAGCTCAGGCTGCCATCGTGGTCTTTGACATCACCAAGCCGGTACGGTGTGAACAGACGTTTATGTAGTTATTATAGACATCATCCTAATTATTATTCTGGGTAATAACATATATTAATATTAATATTAATATTAATACAATACCAGTAAACTTCACGGCTCTACAGCAGCTCAGGAGCTGAACAGTTTGTGCCGTCACTGATATAATAATAAATTCCTACATTATATGATATGTTTTATTCATGCGCAGCAGCCATGACCTCCGCCTGGTATTTACACACACGTGTTGGTGCTCTATCTGACCTTGGTGCTGTGTTTGTGCAGGAGACCTTTGAGAGAGCCAAGGCCTGGGTGAAGGAGCTGCAGAGGCAGGCCAGTCCCAACATCGTGATCGCTCTGGCCGGGAACAAAGCCGACCTGGCTGAGAAGAGACTAGTAGAGTATGAGGTAAGATACTGCAGTCCACCACCTCCTCATGGGCGACAGCCTAAACTAAATCATAATGCGTGACCTTTATCAACTCAATCACTGCTGACAGGTTACATATTAATAAGTTAGTTGAGGTGAGCTTGGGACTCTGTGGTGCGAGCTCTACCAGGTGAGCCACCGGGGAACAACAGTTCCATATGATTTGATTTGTTAGCTCTGAGTGTTGCGCCCCGGCCTCCAGGTCATATTCTCCTGACGTAAAGGAACATGTTTGTTCGGTACAAGAAACAAAAAAAATCACATTTTTCAGTGAAAATAAAATGAAAAAACGATCATTCCAACTGAAATCGCAGTATCTGCCAAAATATTCGCAATTTCTTTTGCATATCGTGCAGCTCTAATCACGCTCAGTAGTATTAATGGGACTGTGGTTGCTATGAGTAACCACAGTAGTGTGTAAGCCTGGCAGAGAGTGTGTTGCTGGAGGACCTCGTTAATGCAGTTTGCCTTTATTGAGACTGTGGTGGAGCAGCTGCAGGTGATTAAGAGCATTTATTCTGGATGAATTATGACTCTGTGGCAAACTGCGCTGGTGGAAATCAGGCTCATGCTTTACCATGTCTTCACCTTTTCTTTCTAATTGGCTGCATTCAAATCCTGTTGGAAAAAAGTCCTCATGAGTCAGCTGCCGACTGATGGTGTTGCGTTCAAGTGTCATAAAATCTCAAACACCAAACATCTGCCCAGTGTCTGTAAATAAGAAACGTTTTTAGGTCTTTTCAGCTTCTGGTCGTTTTCAGTGTTTGTACCTTTTCACATTACTGCCGATGTCATGCCTGTGTTTGTCTGTGTGCTGCTTGGTACAGGAAGCCCAGACATATGCAGAAGACACCGGCCTGCTCTTTATGGAGACCTCAGCCAAGACAGCCATGAACGTCAATGAGCTCTTCCTGGCCATTGGTGAGTGTCTCCTTCATTCACATCTGAACAGGAAATGAAGACTTTTATTTCAGAAGAGAATCAGATTTAGGCCGTAGGAGTCGTTACTGATGATGATGCTTGTCCGTTAGCAACTCGCTCACTGACTTAAATGACATTTGGTGGGAAGTTAAGCTTTGAAAAAGTGATTATATTTCTGATCCAGATCCAAGAATAAAAGAATGAACATTGTTAGATATGAGAAAAGGAGGCAGGTAGGTAGATGCAGATTTAGGTGTGGATTCAGGATTTATTCGAAAGAATGCTAGGCTAGGCTAACTGTAGCTTACATAGCTTGCATACAATTTTATCTTGAGGTTCCACAATTTTTCCATCTACTGACCAACCTAAGTATTTCCAAATGGAGTTTTTTTTTGCTCAGAGACATCTCACCGTCTCTGCAGCTGAGTTGGGTCGTGAACCCTCGGCTGTCATCACCGCACGGTTGTTGCTGAATTATCTGCTTGTTTCAGTTTGACCTAAATATAATGTGTCAATCTGTGAAAGTGACGTTGTGTGACTCTTGTCCGTCATGGCGTGCGTTCAGCGCAGCAGCACATGACAAGTCATGAGGCAGGCAGCTGCAGTAGTGCAGCTTTTGTTCAGTTTAATATTCATTTTCATATTCTAACATCTGTTTTTTTAATAATTAAGTTATACAATTGAATTACGGTTTTCAGCTTTAATGTGAATACAGAACAGAATTTAAATATTTAATATAAGATATGAGAGATATTTTTTTAAAGACTTTTATGCCACAGAGACTATTTAAAATATAATTTGATACCTGTTTCACCATCGTACCATCCAAAATATGAAAGTGTGATGGAAAACCAGTAGAGATAACATGAACTACAAATATTTATTATTGTGTCACATCTCTTGCAGTACATGATAATTCATTCCTCATGGTAGAATTAATTGATTAATGCAACCTGGAGCCAGATGAGCAGCAGAGAAAAGATGGATGGAAATTAAAAAAGAAAGATTTTTCTTAGAGTTGTAATGATTAATAGGTTAATTGATTAGTCCATAAAAAGAAAAATAATCTGCAAAAATTTTGATAATTAGAACAATTATTTTGTTTCATTTTTTAAAGCAAATATGCCATTTACAGTTTATAGAAACAAAATGTACAGATTTTTGTCACATACAACAGTACATGACAAATCTTTTGAGTTTTAGACTGAAGGATAAAACAAGAAGCAGGTTAGAGAAAATAAATAAAGTAAAAGACTTTTAGAAATTAAATTTAAGACTTTTTTTTAATACCTTCTAATGCCTTCGTTTAAGACTTTTTGAACATTTATTTTCTCCAGAATTAAACATAATAAAAATTACTTTATATTTAGAAAGTAAAGTCTGTTAATTTTGATAAAACTCATCTGAGTTTGATAAAATAATTCACTTTCTTTTTTTTTTGTTTTGTTACTGCAGCAAAAAAGATGCCAAAAACAGACACCCAGAACCCGACACACGCAGCGCGACATCGGGGAGTCAACCTCCAGGACCCAGACGCCCACTCTACCCGAGCCTGCTGCGGTGGGAACTAGACCTCCACCACTCCCACCAGTATTCCACCATCAACACCACCACAGCCCTTCGACCATCCTGTCTCCTTCAACCAACTTACAGGGGTGGGCCTGATGCGGGGGAAACCCGGCATCTACTCACCCACTCCCCCTCCATTCATCCTCCTGTCCGAGCAGACAGAAATTCGAAAGGAGAGAATAAGAGGAAAGTAAAAGAGCAAGCAGAGGTGGAGGGAGAAGACACAGAGGGTCACGTCTGTGTCTCTCGACAAACGACTGAGATTCTGCATTTGGGAAAGTACAAGGGGAGGTGTAGTGAAGACTGAGACGGAGAGAGGAGCAAAATACAGAATGTGGAAGACAGTGGAAAGCCTGTTGTAGTATTTAGCACTAATTGTGATTTTTCTTTCGTTTTCACTCTGCCTTGCAACGTTTCAATCACAGCCCTGTTTGATTGCGTAAAAAAGGAAAATGCACAAACTGAGCAGCACATGCTGGCGAGTGGCCAAGACAGGAAGGGGGGGGTGGGAGGAAAAAAAAAAAAGAAAAAGACAAGGCATAAAATAAAGAAGCCAGTTAGGCTGTGGCTGCTTTCTTCTTCTTCTCCTTGTCAGAGCTTGCGCCTGCTTGCCTTGTCTCCTCCTGGTCCTGAATCGATCAAATCCCGCTGTGAATAACGCCACGTCGTACCCCTGGAATGAAGTGAACCCATGATTCGTAACCCCCTCCTCTCTGTCCTGCCTGACTTTCCCCCGGTGTCAGCTGCACCATCCAGGCCCACATCACATTAAGACCCACGGCACAGTTTTGTCCAGCATACGTCGTACGTATTTATTATCCAGTGTTTTAACTTATCTTGACTGCTGGTAGTGATGCTCCAGTGTCTCTGAGGCACCCAACCCACTCACTCTCCTTTCTGTCCGGATAGAAACTCATGAGGCAAACGATTAAACTTAACTAAAGTTGTGATTTAATGAGGTTCTTTGATGACACATCTGGCCCAGCAGACTGGCTTGTTTCAGAAAAGATTTGGCTTGGTTTTCGGTGGCTTGCTTGAGTGCTCATAGGGGAAATATGATTAGCATCGCAGGCTGTAGCTCTTTACAGCAACAATATAGACTTGATAGTGAGTGTTTGAAGCCACAGGACTTTAATAATGCTATGTATGAGCAGGAAAACGTTAGCTGTAACTAATTGCATGTCTGTAGCAGAGAAAGCACTCCTCAAACCCAAAGAAAGTAGTGATGCATCAAATACTTACTGAGCACCTGTTTTTAATAGAGAGCTTAATCTAATTTTTCATTTATTACAGTGAGTGACAGCCCATGTGCGTCTCTGCCCAGATTAAAATATTGGCATCAGATAAATAAAATACTGGGGGCCTAGAAGAATCCTTAAGGGTGGAATGAAAGGCAGGAAAATATAAGACCTGCAACAAACCTGTACCCAGAAAACCTGCCCGTCTTGTGTTTCACGTGTTCCTCATCTGTCCCTTGTCCTGAGGCTAAGCTGTCGGTGAACATGAAATCATAGTGATCTTAAATGGGTTAACTGATTAATACGATGCTCTTAAAACAGAGTTGCGTGCTTGGTTGCTGTCCAGAGCTGCTTGGCTGAAGAAAATGAGGAAGGAATTGATGAAAGAAAAAAACAAAAAAAAAAAGAGGAAAAAAACAAAACAAAACTAAAACAAACAAAAAACAGAAGTGCCTATTCCCAGTTTTCTTTCTCTGTGAGTCATGTTTGAGGCTTTCTTTAACTGTGTGCTTTGTAGGCAAAGTGCAGGAAAACCACCTCTGACATCAGCTTGTACCATGAACCAATAACTCGGCACCCTGTCGTTAGGCTATACTGTATTGGCTCTTTGTATGGATGTAGAGAGATCTTGTTGAATACACTGTATGTTATATATTATTGTCTTAATTTTACTGAAAGTGGATGTTGACTTTAGCAGAGCACACTTGTGAACCTGGAGTGGATCGTTTTAAAAGGGGGGTCTAATCGATGTTATAAATCTGTTTGATTTAAACAAATATTGGTGTTCAGGAAACTTTTTGTTCTGCTTTAATTTCACAACCACGGATATTACAGTGAGAGTTTGGGTTATTTGACGTGGGGGGGTCGTGTGAGGTACTTATAGTCAGTGTATTACCCGCAGTAGATTCAGATCAGTGCGCTGCCAGTTGATAGAAGCAGTTAACAGAAGCTGAATGATGTGTGATGTTTTAACCACTTTTAAAAATTTCCCAGGAAAAACCCTAAAATCAGTTTAAGTGTACGCTTTATTTAGAAAATTTTCACCGCTTTATCTTGCTGTCAAACAGCACTTTCCTTTGGAACTACATTTTCTCAACTGTTGAACTACCGTATTACTACGCACAAGCGCAACTACTGCGCTAAATGTACGCGGTAGTTCAACGGTTGAGAAAATGTAGTTCCAAAGGAAAGTGCTGTTTAACGGCAAGATAAAGCGTTGAAAAAATTCCACATCAAGCGTACACTTTGTTCACCGCTTTATCTCGCCGTCAAACAGCCACCTTTTTTTGGAACTACATTTCCTCAACCGCTGAACTACCGCATTACTACGCACAGCTCTGAGTCAAACCGCGGTTCTGCGGACTAATAGAGTGTGCGCCGTAGTTGCGCTTGTGCGTAGGAATACGGTAGTTCAACAGTTGAGAAAATGTAGTTCCAAAGGAAAGGGTTGTTTGACGGCAAGATAAGGCGGCGAACATATTCAAAATTAAGCGCAAACTTAAACTGATATTATCTTTTTTTTTTCTACGGGAAGTGGTTAAAACACTTTTTTTTGCGGATGACCGTCGCCACAGCATCTGTGCCGGTGCTCGCGACAACTTCTGTAAACTGAGAGCGCGCCGATCCGAATCTACCGCAGGTAACACACTGACTGTAGGTAACTGCCTCACACAACCCCATGTCAAATGACCCCAACTATCACTTTAAGGCATTTTTGATAAAAACACAGTGAACTAATTAAGGGTCTCACAATTTGGCCGGCACACGGTGGACCCCACTGTATGAAGTAAAACGCCATTTTTCAATAGGTATTCAAGAGACAAAATTAATTGCTCATCAGCTCATTATATACAATAAAGTGCATTCACTTCTTCATTCTTCGGTGATCACAACAAGTACGTTCAGTGTTCTGTGCAGGACTTGATTTACCCATCAGCACCTTCAGTGTGTATAGTGTTCAATAAAGCTGTGAATGGCACTTTGAGTGCAGGACGCTGATTGCTTTTCTTTCACTTGCCTTGTGCCTCAGATAAGTGAAACAAAAGACGTTAAAATAGCCACATTTTTATTAGTCCCTTTGAAGTGTTCTTGCCAAGTGGCTGTACAATGGTGTGTGATGGCATTTATTCATTTTTTTAAAAAGGATTATTTTTGATTTTCCAGCCTCTTTAATCATTTGCTATTGTCTTGAAGTTACATGTACAAAAAAATTAAACACAGAACTCAAAAAATCTGTTCTCTAAAATTTTCTTGGTTTGATTAAAATATATAAAAAAGGCGATCACATTTTAACAAAGAAAAAGTTTTCATGGCTGTAATTATCTTTCTGTAGAAACTAATGCTCCTTGTTCATTGTTCAAACTGTCTTGTTCAGCCTGCTGTTAGGGTTTTCATTAACTCTGCCTTGTATAACTCATGTTGGAGGCTGTATAAAAAGCAGGTAGTAAATGCATAAATTAATGGCAAATTTTTACAAATCAATATAAACTAATGGTATGGAATGATCCTCACCTTTTGCCTCATCTCACCCTGACCCCTAATCCTCACACTCCTCATCCTCCACCGCTGTGTAGATGACCTGGTTCCTGCGTTTGATTCTGGGAGTTGGGCCTCTGCTGCCCGGATCACTAGTCTCATCGCTGGTGCGTTTTAAGATGCGTGCAGCTGAGGCGTCCTCGTCCCCGCCCTCACAGAGTCCCTCCCTTTCTGCTCCCGGGTGGGAGCGATCTGCTGCTGCTGGGGTGGAGTGGGAGGGAGGCGGCAGGTTCATTAGGTTGGACAGGCGAGTGGGCGAGACATCAGATTTGGGCTCTGGAAGAACCATACGACTGGGGGTGTGGATTTCACCTACGGGGGCATCAGAGAGCTTCTCTCCCTTCACTTCTGCTTCTGACTCCTTTCCCTCCTCTCCATCTTCCTCCCACTCATCCTCTATGGTGATCTCATCAGGATTAAACGAACTCGACAATCCTGACGTGTCAGTTGGATACTCGCTGGGCTCATCCACGCTTCCCACACTATTCCCATCCTCATCATCATCCTCCTCCCCTCCAGTACTGCCCTGCACTGTCCTCAGCGCATCACCCCTCTGCCCCACCTGGGCGTAGATGTCTGTGAGACCTAATGTGGCGCAGAGCTCGGTCGTCTGAGGGTTGGTGTTACAGCTGGGGTTGGCGTGGGGCTGGGGCTTGTTGGGGTCGTAGGGTGTCACAGTCCGGCTGAAGTTGTCTGGGATGGCAAGTTCACCGCTGAGATCCTCCACCACCTGCATCATGGCTGCTTCTGAAGCTCTGAAGTCCCACCTGCATGAACAGAAACAGCTGTGTCATTATGTTTAGGTGAGTATGAGAGGGAATCATCAGAAACTAGTTAATTCACTCCACTATTTTCATCTTTTTCAATCCTGAACACTGTCCGTTTCCTGCTTGTTTGTTTCAAGGTAGTAAACTGATTAAGAAGTAAAAGCTTTGTGCAGGTGCTGGCAACTGCAAGATGAACATAATCATAAAAAACTAAACCTAAAAATAATCTCTCTTTGGTGTTTTTGTAACTTGTTTTTTGCAGCTACATTGTTAAGATGAGATGGTCACACCTGTATTCTATTGCAAACTGTGTGTGCATGTTTAAGCCTTAGGCCCATTTCCACATTTTCATGATGTTGATGAAGAGCTGAGCTGAACGCGTTGCTCTCGTCGGTGTCAACAAAAGATCATTGACTATGTTTTTGTGGCAGCGTGCAGTCTCTGTCACAATCACTTCTGGTTAGTACACAGAATATCTTTGGCTTTTTGAAATGTCAAATCAGACAAATCAAGACAGTTTTTACACCAAAACAATTATTGGCCAATTAATTTATCAAGAAAATAATCGGCAGATTAATCGTTAGTAACATCAGTCGTTAGTTGAATCCCTAGAATATAAAAATACGTCCAACCTCTCCAGGACAGTTCGGTGCATTGGCAACAGCATGATGTAAGTATCAGACTTCCTTCTATGGGGCAACAGATCACTCACTGCATGAAGTTTTACTGAAAATGTTCAAGCAGCTAAATTCTGCTTAAAGAGTTTTGCTGATTTATGAAAAACAGGTTCAGCTGGAATTATGAAGCGTGTCAGTGAGGCTTTAGTCACAGTCACGGTTTTATCATCAGACCTTTTTACTCGACTGGAACAACATTTAAACTCACAAATGCCTGTTTAATATTTATGAGTGTCGCTTATGGCTGTATTGTCCTGACTGCACTGGTTCCACCTGTAATTTTACAGTTGTTTGCCAAACGTTGGACAACCCAGGGCAAGTTACTTATTATGTTGATTTTTGAAGTGAAAAGAAGTAAATACAAACCTTGCAGCAAGCAGACATTAAACAAGCCTCTCTTTAAAAGGGGTACTGTTAGTTCTTATTTCGTGAACTTAAAAATAAAACATCAAACAATTAATAGTATTTGTGGCATTTGTAAAAATGCTCCCTAAATCAGTTCTTAGTAATCAGCCTTTACCAACTGTTAAACATGGGGGTGGAAATATTCTGCTTTGGGGTTGTGAGGCAGATGGAGGGAAGAATGCATTCCTCTAGAAATCTGCAAATTTTGGATGCACATGTCCTGAAGTCAGGCAGCAAAGTGAAGCAGAAAAGAGGCTGGCTTCTAAAAAAGGACAGTGATTCAAAGGAGACCTCAAAATCCACCATGAACTACTTCAAGAAACAGAACATGAAGCTTTTGTAACGGCCCCCACAGTCCCCCTGCCCTGAACATCACTGAAAATCTGTGGGTAGATCTTAAATATGCTGTATGAGCAGGACAGACTAAAAATATCTCCCAACCTGAAGTGATCTGGAGGAAGAGTGGCTAAAAATTATTCTTAAATCAAGAATAGAAAGATTCTTAGCTGCTATAAAAAGCATTTGCAAGCTGTGATATCTGCCAAAGTACTGGCTGAGTAAGGTGCCCAAACTTTTGCCTATGACACAACTGAAACCTCGTGGTTTACTACTTAATTAGTAAAAGGTAACAGTGAATGAAAACAAACAGCTCATTTTAAGGATTGGATCTACTTCTTTTCACTTCAAAAATCAACAAAATATGCAATCTGTCCAGGCAGGGTGAGCCAGACATCTGTATGTCTGATTCTCTGTGTACCGTTCATGGAGGCCATTATTCTCTGGAGGGTTCCAGGGGTGAGGGGTGGTCCTCTGTAGACCATTTGTGGCTTTCAGAATAGCAAGCCACTCCGGATCATACTCAAGGCCCTCAGATGAACCCGGCCTCTCTGCAACATCCACAATCTGCAACACAAGTGTTTATGTCATTGCTGTCATCATCTACATCTTAAACTAGACTTGATCTCTGCGCATCTACCAACAAAACATCCTCTCACCTGTAAGAATTCCCTATAGGGCAAACATTTATCCAGAGACAGGAATTTGGTTACACGTGGGGCAGCATTACCTTTAGGCTAAAGACAAGAGAATTCACTGAGTTTGTGGAAAAACATTTGTATAGCAGACAGCTGGTACCTAGACTTATTAAAACTCTAAAATGTAAGCCTAAGAATGACATGAGCAGTTACTCTCACCGGATGCTGCATAACAGCAGCAAATTTCACATGAAGATGTGCAGAGAACCAGTAGCTGGGCTGAAGATGAGCCAGGAGCTCTTCAGCGGCAGGACTTCCCAGAGTGTTTGACTCCACTTCCTGACGCAGAAACTTCTTCTTTCGCAGCAATTCCCCTGTGCTCCCATAGTAGTAGATTCCACGAGGCCAGTCGTGGCTCATGAAAATGTCCATGGGCATCTGGATCTAATTGGAAATTAACATTTATGAATCAAAATACATTGTTTATATAGATAATTTTGAACTGTGTGCAAGAGAACAAGCGGATATTTACCTGTTTTAATTTGAAAACCTCAATATTTCGGATGTGATATACGCTTCGAAGAGTATCAGGGTTGTATGGAGGGAACTCATGGTGACCTTAAAGAGCAAACATTCCTTGTAAGCGTACTGCATAGTGTGTATAATTTCAATCATTCACGCTGTAAAAAAAAAACGCACCCTTTCTGTAGTCACGTGATTTGAAGATTCCAGATAAGCCACCAATTCTGATCCCTTTGTAGCGAATAACACCAGCATAACCTGAGGACATATGGTTAAAGTCAAGCCTGGAAATAACAGATAGGCAGACAGTCTGAATAATCACATTAATTTATCTGTGTGTCCCTACCCAGATAATAAATGTTGGGTGCCACCCAGCCCCCATAAGGAAGCTCCTGCAGGTGGTTGGAAGCCTCGTGGTTCCCTCCAATGAAGATGGTGAGGACTGGAGCCTTCTTCTCTCCAGAATAATATCTGCAAATGACAGTGAAGTTACAAGTTTTAAATGCTCTCACTCATATCTTGCACTTTTTGAAATATAAAAAAATAATCAAAGAACTGACTTGTAGAAGGTCTGCATCATTCTGTATTTGGCTGGCACTGCCATGCACTTCATGTCTCCCTCATTTCGCACTGCCTGGAAGTCGCCACAGCAAAGCAGCAGGTCCACTTTCACCCCTTCCTTCTTCTCCAAGTAGCCGATGGTCTCGTAGATCTTGTCCAGTTCTCCATGGCAACAGCCCTCCACTGCAATCTTCATGCTGCACAGGCGAGTAAGCTGCAGATTCCCAGAGAAAAATCACATTCACAGTAAGGGTTGGTTTGTACTCTGAGATGCTGAGACCTGCTGTTTGTTGTCTTTTGTTGATCAGTAAGGGAACAAGCAAAATTCAAAACACTGGTGATGCCATTATTTTCACTAAAAGGTATCAGTCATGTTAGGCAGAGCTGCAAAATTTAGTCAATTAATCCATTAGTCAATCAGCAGAATATTACTCTGCAACTACTTTGATTGTTTTAGATATTTCTTAAACTAAAAATGCCAAACATTTGCTTAGTCCACCTTCTTAAACGTGAAGATTTTAGTCTTTTTTTTGACATATGATTATAAGACTTCGACTCTGGGAATCTGTGGTGGACATTTTGGCCATATTCTGACATTTTATAAACCAAGCAAGTGATCGACTAATCGATAAAATGCAGATAGGTTCATCGAAAGCGAAAACACTCCTTAGTTGCAGCCCTAGAGTGAAGAAGAGCCTCTGTGGCAGATTACAGAGAATCGAGAGCCACGGGAACATAAACTAACCTGGATACCACTTTAAACACATCAAATATTCAGCGATGCTTTGAAAACTTGCTCAACAGAGTGACAAAAATGTAATCATCTGACACATGGGAGTCCTGCTACATGCCCGTCAACAAGGCCTCTGCGATATGTAGTCTACTCCGTGTAGTTAGCTTCAGTTACAACTTATTACTAGCAACTTAATTGGTATAAAATCAACAGCAACAAAACCGAACAAGCAATAGCAAGCTATGCTAATATAATGGACCATAAGGTTACACCGTGTTGAGATGACCCGGGAACAAAAAACCTCTCACGAGCACAACAGGCTGACAAACTGCGCACTTACGGTGACGACTGAAGACCTGAAGAGTGTGTGTCCGGTTTTCAAGCGCCGTAAACTTACAAAATATTTCTGAAAATCATGTTTATGTTGCAGGCTCGCACAGGCACGAGAGAATGAATTTTCCCACCTCGCATCTATCACTAACGGCGCATGCGCGGAACGTCACCAACTTAAGCAAACTGTGTGATCACCGACAGTAGATTCAACAAAAAACAAAATTTAACGAATGTTAATTCGTAATAAAAGTGAGTCGTTTTACGATTGTTTTCTTTTCCCAAATCTGTTTATTGAGTTTTGAATTATTTATTTTTGTTTTGTTTTGTGAACATTGATATCAAAGAACTCAGCACAACACTGGTCTACAAAATCGGTATGAATAATAGTGAAAGAAACACATAATTTTTAATGGAAAAGCGTATCAACAGCACATATTCTTATATTCTATTTTTTTTTAATGTATATAAATAAAAGCAAAGTACAAAAGGGGGGGGGTCCATAATTAGTTGAGGAGAATTGTTTTGTAGTATTGAAGCAACTGTGGAAATGGAAAAAAATAAATATAGAATCCATATATCCACATAGTATTCAAGAGTAAAACACTCCAGGGTGGTTTGTCATTGATCCATGACATAAAAACATTTTCGTTTTACTTTTATTTTCGTATCCGTTTACATGGTTCGTATGGGACAAGTTGTTGTGTCGAAACTAAATTAAGGAGACTTCACCTACGTCACATTTATAAACAAAATTTACCTCATTGACAAATCCACTGTCTGTCATACAGCTCGCCAACTTAGCGCTGTTGTTTCTTCTTGTATATCTGCTGCTAGTGTTTATAACTCAGCCCATACAGGAATATAGTCACCTGTTTTTATTATAACGCTAGCGAGGAGCTGCGTGACTGAGCTGCAGTTACTTTTTAAAATCCGCTCACAGCTGCTCTGGGGGGCGGAGTGTCTGCAGAGTGCTGCGCCGATTGGGGCGCTCGATCGGGGGAAGAGAGATGGCGTGCTTGTTGGAGGCCCCTCTCCGCATCAGTGTGCTGTCTGTGAGTGTCACTCTCATAGTTTCAAATAGCATTGTGAGATTTACAGTATGCTAACTCCAGCAGCGAGTGCTTAATATAATTTAATCAGTCAAACTGTGAAGGTTTGTGTCTTCTGTTAGCCTGCAAGCTAAGTTACAGGCTTTGCAACATGTAGCACTGTAGCGGTGCGCCTACGTAGCTGTTGGTGAGAACGGTTTTCATTCTGACCTTGCTCGCGCGGGCGGGAACGTTCCGAACATGTGAAGGGATGCGTGTGGTTAATGTCCGGTCGCCCCGTCGGTGTGTAAAGTAAACATAATCAAACGACTGAAGTAGCTGTCAGTGTCAGTCGGAATGAGTTAGCAGCTAACTGCTAAGTGACAGTGCTGTCACCACTGTTCGTCCTGAAACAAACCAAATACATTTAAAAAATGCATAATGCAAAGTGGGAAAGAAGTTGCAGTACTGAGCTTTTTATTCCAACCATCCGACGTGACTTGCTCGTAATCTCCGCAGTTTGTCAATTACAGTAGCAAACATTGTTAAGATAGCTAACGTTAGCTAACCACTAGCATACGGTTAAGCTAGTGAAGCTAACATCCCTCACTGGGTGCCCTCCTCCATGAGTTTTCACAGGGTAAAATTAGCTCTGTCAGCAGCCAAAAGTCTAGTAAATAGTTAGTATGGTATTGTAATTCATTTTAGCAGGTGACAGTGGCCGTCAGGTGTATTTTTGCTAAAGTTAGCATTAAATTGGCAGCGGAAACGAGCTTACTCAGGATCACACTAGTGAAACGCCCCCACGTTAGGTCCATGCAGAAAGAACACTGTTGCAGACCCTCTAAGATATTATGGTGGCTTATGTTATACCTTAACGAACACAAGCTCTATTTGCCTGATTTAAGCTACATGTAGTTAATGCATATCAAAGTTGGTTTTCAAAACAGATTTGTAAAGGCAGGTTAATGCAGGTACAGAATGTGCTGAGCACCTTGCCAGCACCATGTTGGCACCAGAAGCCTGTAGTATCAGCGTGTGGTCAGCTGGTTGAGGTTTACTCCTCTGTGGTTATGTGGAAGGTTCTGGTTAATGTTGTCAGTGATATAAACAAAGTTTTCTGGTGTCACATTCAGCCACTGGGTGCCACATGTAACAGCTGTTGAAGGGTCCTGGTGCCATGAATGCTGCTGTATGTGTCAGTGCATACGACTCTGGGTCTATTAGTGTTGACAAGCAATTTAAAAAACCTTTAATTTAGTTCAATTATAAAATATCTGCTGATTTTTAAATATTTGGAGGTTTGATATTCCAGATAGAAATAATCCTAATCCTAATTATGTAAACATAGAGACCATCAGACTCTACCTCCCTGCTTCTTAACTTTAGTTTGCTGCTAAATTGATGTAAAAAATATACACTATATTTGACATTTTCTGCTGTGTGATGTATATATGTCAGACAGAAACTGATTAAGGTACAGATAGGCGTAGCTGGGAAATTTTCATGTCACTGATTTTTGTCACTAATGGGTCTGTTATTTTTGTCCTCATGCAGGAGGTCACTGCCACTAGTCGCCATTATGTTGACAGACTGTTCGACCCCGACCCACAGAAAGTGCTGCAGGGAGTCATGTAAGTCCAGCAACACTTTGTCCAACACACATTTGTATATGTTGTCCTCCCTAATGCAAAGGATAGACAGATAAACAGAGTTTGAACAAATCCTTTTGCAGTAAGTAATAACCTGGCCTTTTTGCTATTTCATCAGCCATCTTACTGGAAGAGCTCGTACTTTATTCAGCCAGTGTGTTTCAGTGCAGCCAGTCACTCCACCAGATTTGTTTTTCTTTTTTATGATGAACACTGATGAAGGTCCTGTGCTGAAATGCATTATTTGAATAAAGGCCACACTCTTCTACACTGGTGTTGCTGAAATGTCTTTCACAGGTTGTTGATTAAATTTGCCAATAGAATTACCTCTTTGAATATCGTACATTGAACTTATTCTGTAGAAAACATTACTCATGATGTTGGTGTTCCTTTAGCAGCATGACCTCTGTGTTTACGTGCACAGCCTTTCATCTCAAAATGCATTTCAGTGTCCAGTGTGACTTCATCCCCCCACACACACACACACACACACACACACTCTCACTCTCTGTCTCGACTGCAGTGACCTGGACTCTGACTATTACATCGTTATTTTTAACTTCTGAGGAGACTAGCTCTGGTTACGGCTTGTACCGCTCCACTAGCCGAGCACCTGACTGACTTGACTGCCTGCTACAGCTGTACTTTTCCACTAGCCTCACTCACCTGCTATTTGATATCATCTGGGGCACTCGCAGAGCAGGGGAAAGGCTGCATGGAAAAAAAATGCAGTGAACACAAGCGAACAGGCTCATTCTGTGTCCCTGCAAGAATAAGTGGTACATCTGCCTGATGTGAACTTTCTCTGGTCCAATTAGGAAACATCAGTCTGACTAACCTCTGCCTGCCTGCTGTCTTCATGACTTCTTAGATTTACTACATACTGTCCTCACAGATCTCTGGACAGTCTCACTACTATTAGCTAAACTTATATTATCAAGAGACAACACTGGGTGAAATACATCTTTAATGAAACGTAATGTGTTTTACTTTTGTGCTGTAACTTTCATTCTAACTTTCAGAATAAAAGTTCCTTTTTATCCTGACTTGCTGCTGCAGTATATCAACAATAATGCTTTACATTATGGCCTATAACGCACACCATAATTCTTCCCAATCAACAGTCTAATTTTTTGTACCAATGATGTACTGGTTCATACAGTCACTGAGCACTTTATTAGGAACACCTGCACACCTTCTTATTCGTGCAGTTATCCAATCAGCTGATTATGTGGCAGCTTTGCAATACACAGCATCCTGCAGATACAAGTGAGGAGCTTCAGTTAATGTTCACATTCATCAAATAGGGGGAAAATTTAACTTCAGTGACTTTGACTATGGCGTGTTTGTTGGTGTCAGACGTGCTGGTTTCTGACACTTTTCACACACAACAATCTGTAGAGTTTCCACTCAGAATGGAGCCAAAAACAGGATTTGTATGGTGTTCCTAATAAAGTGCTCACTGAGTGTACATGTAGGTACATTAGAACTAGATGTGAAGTTAGGGAACACAAATGTCGGACTGTATGTTGCCATGATCTAAAGCGTTCCCGCATCAACTCTTTCATCATGCCAGCGAAATACATTTGTCACAGTTGCTCCAAACACATGACCATGAAGCGACCTCTCATCCGTGTGCCCATGTCTGACTTCACAGTGACATGAAGAATGCCGTCATAGGAAACAACAAGCAGAAGGCCAATCTGATCGTCCTCGGAGCCGTGCCGAGGTACGTCTCTGCACACCTTTCCACTTCTTTCCTTTCGTCTCTCCACTTTATGACCTTTTTTTAAAATTTTCATTCAGGTGCACTCGAGGGATACACAAGACGTTTGTGGTGCACAAGATGCTTCTGTAAAACTAACAAGACCTGAGTTCAGTCCACACTACTCTATTCTTCCCCCTAATGTAATTGTGTGACACATTTTCCCTTCTATCCATGAAATGACTGTAACGGCAACTTTAACTTGTTTATGAGAGAATAAAAACACAGAGTCGAACTCACTGTCACCAACTTCTCTGCACTCCACACATAATTGGCATGTTTACGGTCAACTTGCTTTAGTGTGTGTGTGTGTGTGTGTGTGTGTGTGTGTTTGTTCATTGGTTCCAGGTTACTATACCTGCTCCAGCAGAGCTCGTCCAGTCTGGAGCTGCGGACCGAGTGTGCCGTGGTGCTGGGCAGCCTCGCCATGGGCACCGAGAACAACATCAAGTCCCTGGTGGACTGTCACATCATCCCTGCCCTTCTTCAAGGTTGGACACACACACACAGACACACACATTCTCACCCATGCAAATACTGCAGAGGACAACAGCCCACGTGACTTTCTTGGAGACAGAGCTAAAGAGCACGTGTGCTTTGTGTGTTCACAGGTCTCTTGTGTCCAGACCTGATCTTCATTGAAGCCTGTCTTCGATGCCTCAGAACTGTCTTCATCAGCCCAGTTACACCTGTGCAGCTGCTCTATACTGTAGGTTGTCCTGTACATGTTCTGCCTGCTGCACACACGAGCGACAATGTGATTTTGGACAGAACTTGAGTGCAGACTACCATTTGTGTGTTTTCCTTTTAGGACCCCACTGTGATTCCCCATCTAATGTCTCTACTGAGCCGCTCACAGAGAACCCAGGAGTACATCACACAGATCTTCTCCCACTGTTGTAAGGTATTTGTTGGTATTTGGTCGCACACAAACACAGTGGAGTCCAGCACACTTGGAGCCCAGACCACGATTCATTGTTGACTGGATGTTTATTGTCCGCAGACCCCGGAGCACCAGACGGTTCTTTTCAACCACGGCGCCATCCAGAACATCGCCCCTCTGCTTATATCACCCTCTTATAAGGTATAAAGCTGCCCCTCTGTCAGTGGATATACAGTATTTACCCAACCTTTATACCAAGTCACCTCTTTATATCATGCTCCTCTTCACACCTCTCCAGGTCCGGATGCAGGCGTTAAAGTGTTTCTCAGTCCTGGCCTATGAGAACACTCAGGTCTCCATGACACTGGTGAATGGTGAGGAAATCTCTCCTCGTCTCCTCTCGTCGTCTCCTCTCCTTGTCTCCTCTCCTCTTATATCCATTTATCTATGTTTTTTTCTTGCCAGTGCTGGTGGACGGGGAGCTGCTCTCTCAGGTATTTGTCAGAATGATGCAAAGGGATCAACCCATTGAAATGCAGCTAACAGCAGCCAAATGGTGAGTGACGTAAATCCATGTGAATTATTATTCATTAGTAATATATTTCCTGTATTCCCTGTATACATTTTCCTCTAACGCGACCTCTTCTCCTTCAGTTTAACGTACATGTGTCGAGCGGGTGCCATTAGGACAGACGACAGCTGCATCGTCCTGAAGGTCCGGCTTTTCTGAGACTCAGCACCTCCACTTATCATCATTATCATTAGCATTGTACTGTACATATGACTTTCTGATTTTCATCCAGACGCTGCCGTGCTTGGTGCGGATGTGCAGTAAAGAGCATTTGCTTGAGGAGAGGGTGGAGGGTGCAGAGACGCTGGCCTACCTGATGGAGCCCGACGTGGAGCTGCAGAGGATCGCCAGCACCACCGACCACCTGGTGGCCATGCTGGCTGACTACTTTAAATACCCCAGCTCTGTGTCCGCCATCACTGACATCAAGAGGGTGGGTCAGTGGGCCTGAGGAGGGTCCTTCTCATGTAACGTTATGTTGTCAAGACGGAAAGGGGGCAGGTGTTTGCCAGATGTTACATGTATGTGTTAGTGTTGTGTCATTACACAAGAGTTTACAGCCACGCCATCAACACTCCGAGGCTGTAGCTGAATGCTAATGTCGACATGCTAACATGCCGATGTTTAGCAGGTACAGTGTTCACCATGTTTGCCATTTTAGTTTGGTCATAAACCAAAGTGTTGACATTTTAATCTGATGCTCAATGAAAACTCAGGACCAGCAAGTGTTTACAGTTTATCCTGAGCTAAATATCTGCAGCAAATATCATGGTGATCCATCCAACAGTTGTTGAAACATTTCTCCAAACTCACAAATGTCACCTCGTGATGATGCAGGAGAAAAAGTAAAGTCAAAGTCAGTAGCATTCGTCCTCTGGTGACCATGGCATCCATCTGATTCAGATATTTCAACCAGGACCAAAGTACCGACCAACCAGCCTTTAAATCCCTACAGTCATGCTAATAGCATAGCTAAAACTAATAATCACAATTATTTTTCTTAAGGCCAATTAAAGGCTCTTTGTTACTTGAACAGATTTTTTTTTTTGCTTAGACTTTCAGACAGCGCTGGAGCCAATCTAGTTATGCTTCTATAATCAGCTGTGACCCAGTAATCCTCAGTGTTTCTGAATGTCATCAGTGCTGCAAAGACAGACAGCAGAAGGGTTTTCAGGCTGACTGTGTGCATGTAGCTCTCCATCTACACTTGTTAATAATTACCTCTAAGTCAATATAATACATTAAATGAGAGTTCAGTACATTTAAATACGTGTTTATAAAAAAAAAAAACCTAACCACAAGTTTTATTATTCTCCATGACTGGATTCAGCTACTACCTTATCTCTGTTATGTAACAAACTAAATAACCAAGAAGGTAGTTCATCAAAATGAATTTATTTCAATTACAGGAAGCGGCTGAGGGGAAACAGTGAGTAAATTCAGCTTTAACTGGATTTGGCTCTACAGCTTGGTGTAGTTTTTAGCTGTGTGATGCCAATGACTTTAACGAATAATGTGTTTAATGGATCAAAATGTATCATCTTTCACTGTTTGCTCACTTCCTGTCACCTGCAGCTGGACCATGACCTGAAACACGCACACGAGCTGAGACAAGCTGCTTTCAAACTTTACGCCTCGCTGGGCTCCAACGACGAGGACATCCGCAAAAAGGTGACCCTTCCTCAGGTGTAATTTTTACTTGTATTTAGTGCAAACGAATTTATTCTTTAACGCACCCCCTCTTCTTTTATTTTTTGTCTTCAGATCACAGAGACAGAGAACATGATGGACAGGATAGTCAGTGGCCTATCAGAATCCAGCATTAAAGTCCGCTTGGCGGCCGTCAGGTACGACGTGAAGAGAGTTTCTTTGAGCCGCGTCCACGTCCTCCCAGAAATCTGGATGACGCATCAAACCTTTAAAATGATTCAACTTCTACTAAATAACATAATAATAATAATAAAATGTGAGTGCATTTGTTTATATTTATTTATTATTATTTTTGTCCAGGTGTCTTCACAGTCTTTCGCGATCGGTGCAGCAGCTGAGGACCAGCTTCCACGACCACGCCGTGTGGAAACCCCTCATGAAGGTCAGTGGAGTCCAGTGACGCCCAGCAGAAGCACGTCTCTGCACGTCTCGTCACGTCACTGGAACCGGTCTCAGCTCTCAGGCCGGACGAGGACACGCGTGTGAGGGTGAAAATAAATGATGAACATTGAGTAACATGGTGTGTTTGTGTTTGTGTGTAGCTGCTGCAGAACGCCCCCGACGAAGTCCTGGTCATGGCCTCCTCTACACTATGCAATCTACTGCTGGAGTTCTCACCCAGCAAAGAGGTACACACACACACTCACACACACACACACACACACACACACACACCTCACACACTTGTAAATGAGGAGATCTTTGTAATAACAGTTCATCAAATGACGGGTTTAATGTTGGAAACCAGGTCGTTTCTCTGTATCTGCAGCCCATCCTGGAGTCGGGGGTGATTGAATTACTATGCAGTCTGACCCAGAGTGACAGTCCTGCACTGAGGGTCAATGGGATCTGGGCCCTGATGGTAAGAAGAGGGTTTTAAGTCTCAACAGACTCCTTTTTTCACTTCAGCAGAATCCTGGAGAGATCACTGAATGTGTGACTTGTTGTTCAAGGACTGTGAATGTTTAGATTTAATACATCATCTATTTTTCTCTGTCTTTCTTTTTTTCTCTCTGCGTTGTTAAACACTCACTGTCCATCGTGTCACGTTCAAAGTAATTCAGAGAAAGTTGTGTTTTTGATGATTCTCTTTGACACCCTGATGATTTTAAATACAAACCGTGTGTGTGTGTGTGTGTGTGTGTGTGTGTGTGTGTGTGTGTGTGTGTGTGTGTGTGTGTGTGTGTGTGTGTGTGTGTGTGTGTGTGTGGTTGTGTGTGTGTGTGTGTGTGCAGAACATGGCGTTCCAGGCCGATCAGAAGGTGAAGGTGGAGATTGTTCGGTGTTTGGGAACAGAGCAGTTGTTCCGTCTGCTGTCGGACCCCGACACCAACGTGCTGATGAAGACCCTCGGTTTGCTGCGAAATCTGCTTTCAACTCGCCCGGTGAGACACACACAAGCGCCGTCTTTAACATCCAATACAGCAGCTCAGTTTTCACTCCTTCATGCCTATTGTATGTTGTGCTCAGGTTGTTCACCTGGACTCAACGGATTAGACTGTAGTGGTCAAAGGTCACGGTGACCTCACAAAACACTTTTTAGCCATAACTCAAGACTTCACAGCAATTATGACAAAAACGTCACACAAATAGTTCATACTGTATATGACTCTGGATAAACAGGGATGTAACCTGGAACTAGTCTGAGCGGCGGAGGGTTTCTAGTTTGTTGACACTGTCAGAATGAGGATAATTCCACATAGTGCTTGAACTGAATTGCGTCATATTGGAAGGTACTTCTAACATTTTGTCCGCCACATTTACACATGAGGCAGCCGATCATTAGAAAAACCTTCTTCTGTACAACCTTAATAATAAAGATGAATTAGAATAATCACCTGTCAACAAACAACTGTTGTATTGGATTGTACAGGTGTACCTAATAAAGTGGCCACTGAGTGTATGTAGACTACGGTCAGAGCGTCTGTGGCATGTCACAGTAAAGTTGTAGTAACTCACATGACCCGGCATGTGCTGGATCTGCATAAAGTACAACACGCATGCTGAATCTCTCTCTCTCTCTCTCTCTCTCTCTCTCTCTCTCTCTCTCTCTCTCTCTCTTTGTGGTTCTCATCTCACGTCGCCTTTTGCTCTTGTCTCTCTCTCTCTCACGGTCGTGTCGTCAGCACATCGACCAGATCATGAGTTCTCATGGGAAGCAGATCATGCAGGCGGTGACCCTCATCCTGGAGGCAGAGCACAGTATAGAGGTCAAAGAACAGGTGAGCTCTCCCTCCTTTCAACCCACAGCTGCATTAAAAAACCGGCACTGCAGAGTGCAGGTACGCTCGGTCTTCATTCCCCCCGGATGCGTCCGGTGGTGCCGAGGTGTCTGTGGAACTGGAAGCACATGAGAGAGAATCACTTGTTCTTTTTATGAATCACAAAGAACAAAATGTCCAAGTGACGGCAGTGATGTAACGCAGCTCTTCTCATCTGTCAGACGCTGTGCATTCTGGCCAACATCGCCGACGGCAACACCGCCAAGGAGCTCATCATGACCAATGACGACATGCTCCAGAAAATCAAATACTACATGGTACTGTTTATTAAAAACGTCTCCTGCAGTTCAGCCTTGTTCTCCGTTTATCAGATCACATGTTTGACGTTGTTGAAGTGGTATATTCTGCCAGCTGACTGATTATGGGATGTTTTCATTAGTTTGTGTTCTGGTTCCTTCAGGGTCATTCGAATGTGAAACTGCAGCTCGCTGCCACCTTCTGCATCTCAAACCTCATCTGGAACGAGGAGGACGGTAAGAGACTCGCCGCACGAGCTGACAGGAGGAATAAAGGAACGGGGAAGAGGGATGTGAGGAGAGATGAAGTTCTGTCGTCTCTGCTGAAACGTTGATGGTGTGAAGGCGTGTTCACGCTACAGTGAAGACGAGGGTGCAGTATATTAGGGCTGCAAGTGACGACAGAAATATTCCAATCACAACTTTTCAAATATCTTGTTTTCTGACCAATAGTCCAGAACCTGCAGGTATTTACTTTAGTTTTATACATGACAAAGAGAAGCAGCAAACTGGATTAATTGATATCAATTCTATGTAATATCAGTTCTTTAAATATATATATTGATTAATAAAACAATCTTTACAGTATTTACCGCTGCTGGCGAGCGCCTCCTCCATTACTGCCCCTGCAGAGCATCAGATCATGTGACCTCCACTCTGATGATGATAATGAGATGCGTCTTTTAGACACAGAGTGAACTCTTGTCTTGCAAAACACTTTGATTGTGGTTAATTAAATGTTTAAAGAAGTCGTTTCTGTCCTTTATGGAGCCGTGAACCTCTGACCTTGTTCATTTTAAAGCAGCACATATAGATGCTGGAGTTAATTAATTTTCCTCTCCGTGTTCTCGTGTGTCACCAGGGTCTCAGGACCGTCAGGACAAGCTGAGGGAGATGGGCTTCGTGGACATCCTGCACAAACTCACCCAGGCCTCTGACCCCAGCCTCAGTGACAGGTGGGCCACAATAACAAACCATTATTCATTAGACACTGAAACTGCTGAGCACACTGGACTGACTGTGTGTGTCTGTGTGTGTGTGTGTGTCTCTCTCTCAGGGCGAAGACGGCGATGCAGCAGTACCTAGCATGACTACAGAGGGCAGAGATCCTCTACTGCCAGCCTAACTAACAATCGTCAGGAGGGACACCTGCCATCGGTTCTTTTGTTTTCCTTGTTTTTGTTTAATCTTGAGGCTTGTTCTGTTGCACAAAGACACCTTTTGTTTTGGACCTGTGGCTGGCCTCCCCTCACCTCCCTTCCACCCACCACCACCCAGTACCACCACCTCAAAACGTTGTGCTCGCTCCAAACCTCATCCTGGAGACTCTGAGATCGTGGTTGTTGGGAAATCAACGGTTCGGAGGGTTTCACTTGTTTTTTCTTCTGGGTTTTTTTTTTTTTTTCTCTTCCTTCACGGACAAAGTGAATTTTTTTTTTTCTTTGGGACTTTGTGATTTAAGGTTTTTGAATTTTCATTTTTTTTCTTTGGAGTGCAGCAGCCAGACACCAGCGCCGCCGTGCCGCCGTGCTGCCGTGGTGCTTTTGGACTCCTGATGGTGGAGATTCAGGTCTCGGAGAACCGGACTACGAGGTTTGACACAAGAGCACGGCTGTTGGACAGTAAAGCTTCCCAGTTTTATTTTTTTAATTTTTAACTAATGATATTACTATTAATATTAATGTTTCCTTCAGGCGTCGCGAGTAAGGACACATTTGGAAAAACACAGACTGCCTATTTTGAAATTTTGGGTGTTTTCTTTTCTTTCTTTTTTTTTGTGGATACATACCTCGTAAATATATAAATATATATAAATATAAACATAAATATATATTTTTGGATTTTTATTTTCCCCTGACCCTCTCGTTTGTTTTCATTCATCCTCTCTGAACCACGACTGTCGGCACAGTGCGGGGAATCCGGTGTGTATCTGACTTTGAACATGGTGTGTAGAGGTGATATAAGGAGAAGAAATGTATTTCCCCTGATTTTCTTTTTTCTCTTCACCGTCGTGGTTCTGTGTGCACTGGAGCCTGTCACCTTTTGTCCTTTATAATCCCAATGGGAAATGTAGTTCCAGAGCTGATAGGGCTTACTCTGACCTGCCGGTGACTAACTAACAGGCATGAGTGCACACAACACCAGAGATCAGAGGACGCATGAATCCTCACACCTCTATCGTTTTGGCATTCTCTCCAGCCCCCCCCCCTTCTCTTACGAGCATTTGTTAAAAGTTTAAATGAAAATTTCTCAAGCTCCTCCCGGGTTTCTTTCCTCTGACGTGTTTTTGAGAAGTGAGCGGAGAACAAGAGTAGATGGCGAGGAATGAAGGAAGAACAATTTGAGACTGGCCCCTGGAGGGTAAAAGCACTAAGTGCACCCGCAGCGGCAGAATCGAGTGCTACGTCGTGTTTCATCCCTCGATCATATAATTTCTTCTCCCAGAAGGATTTTTCTAGAGTGTTGTTCCCTGACATTTCAAACCTTACTGAAGCTCTGATAGAATGAATGTTATCATTGAAAATATATGCAGACCTGAAGAAGGAGTTCCTCTGTCTTGTGTCTTTTGTTTCACCTTAAAAGCCGGTCTGAATCAAGTGTGTCGAGTCCCGTGCAAAGAATCAAATCCAGCGTAAACTTTTATTTTCTCTGCTGAGTCGTTCTCTGATCCACGTCGTCTGAAGAAAGGTCACGTGTTTTTAAGAGGCGTTGATGGTTGAGGATGCAGTTTGTGGTGCTGTAGAACTGCACTGTGTTATACAGAGGTGTTTAATATAATAATAAAATATAAAATTTAATAATGCAACAGCAGCAGAACAAACTGCAGCCTCACGTTGAATCAACACGTCTGTAAAACACAAGCTGAACATTATAACCTTCATGAAGGAGGGTTTACTGCAGGACTGTTGTATTGTACCTAATAAACTGGCAGCTGAGTGTACATGAGTACAGTGCATTTCCCATTTAATTAGTATCACAGCTGATGGTTGCCTACAGGGGGAAACTCTTTAACAATCTGGATTAAAAACTATTTTATTTGCTGCATAAAAAATAAATGTAACTCATTTCCTTCAGTTTCCTGATCCAAAGATGGTTGCTGGAAATAATGTCTTTGTTTAATTTTATACAGAAATATTGTATCATTGTCATCATAAAAAAAAAAAAATTTTTTTAAATCAATTATAGTTCTCTATATTGCTACTTCCTATCTAGGTAATATTTTACAATCAATTATCTGAATGTTAATATTTTATAATAATATAGCATTAATATTTTTCTTGGATTTTGTAAAAAAAAAAAANAGATGGTTGCTGGAAATAATGTCTTTGTTTAATTTTATACAGAAATATTGTATCATTGTCATCATAAAAAAAAAAAACTTTTTTTAAATCAATTATAGTTCTCTATATTGCTACTTCCTATCTAGGTAATATTTTACAATCAATTATCTGAATGTTAATATTTTATAATAATATAGCATTAATATTTTTCTTGGATTTTGTAAAAAAAAAAAAGCAAGAACATGTCATTTCCCTCAACCTGGATCAGGAAATTAGGGCTGCAAGTAACGATCAATGGATTCATTTTATTAATTGGTTCGCCTAAAAAAAAAAAAAAATGACAGTAAATAGTGAAAAATGTTATAACGTTATAACTTCCCACAGACCAAACGTCTCGTTCTGTTCAACCAACAGGTCAAAATGTTTGTATCATGTGACGAAGAAAAGCATTTGAGAAAGTATAAAAACGATTTCTCGATTATCAAATTAGTTGCTGATTGATTAATCAACTAATCACTGCAGCTCTGCAGGAAATGCAGTTGCAACGTGTTTTTTTTGCAGCAGCAGCAGATGGAATATTTTTACATTCAGATTTTGAGAAGAGTCTTTTAACAAACTTCTGGGTTCATCATTTCCTGGTATTTCTTGTACAGAGAAATGATGCTAACAGGGCTAACCTGGGGCTAACGGTTCCCCACAGTAGCACAGGAGTCTGAGATCTTACAAAACAACACTTCTTTATTGTTGTACAGTATGTAATCCTGGTAAAGTTCTTATGTAACAGCAGTCTTTAATAAAATACATCTGAAACCCAACAGCCTCCAGTTTGGGCGGGCGGGCGGTCCGTCGACTCCCATCAGCCCTCGTCCCCTCGACAGCTCAAAAGCAGGCACATTCCTCATGCAAAAAAAAGCTGTGTCATGCATTTGATTTAAAACCCTTTTATGTACCCAAAACCAACACCACCACCACCACCCCCCCACCACCCCACCCCCAACCCCAGAGTATGACCCACGGGATCAGAGCTCCACAGACACCGATGGGAGCCCTGCTCAGTGAATCTTTGTGTTTGAGTGTAAAGAGTCCAGGTCGTCCCTCCCCTGCTCCCGTTACAGAAAATAGAAACCAGAAATCTGACTGTCTATATTACAAGTAACATGGCGCACAAAGCACCTCACCAAAGCAAGAAGAAAGGAAAAGAAATGTACAGAAGTCCTGAGGCCTCCATAGTGATGCAGCCTGGGTATTGTAGTTTTAGAGTTAGGCTGTTGTCTCGTACCAGCGTAAAGCTCAGTGGTTGGCAAAGGGCTCGTAGATGATGAGAATTATGTGCAGGATCTGCTCCGTATGTGTGTGTGTGTGTGCTACATAAGAATTAGGAAAGTGACACTCATATTTAAACGGTAAACCTCCCTCCCCAGCCTGTTTCTGTTACATCTCCCAGACGTGCAAAAAAATATTTCCTCATCGCTTCAACAAAAATAAATAAATACATGCCTCAGTAAATAAATAAATTCAGTTACATTTGAGATAAAGGTGCAAGTGTTGTCTGTAGGTGACGCTGATGGCTTTCTATGTCAAATTTTGATCCAAATGCTTTGCCTGTAAAGAACAGGTGAAGAACTTCATAGGGAAGTCTATGTCTTTATTATGGAGAAGGCACGAATGGCTGGATGGCTAAAGCTCAGGAGTGATGTGGGAGTTTGCTCTACAATCTGGCAGGCTGGTTGTAAACAGTCATGGCGGTGATAAACGGTGATGTACTGATGCTGTTTGTGACTTCTTCCATTAATCTTGCTTTTTTTTTCTTTTTAAACTTTTGTCTTTGGCACACGACCTGATCACGAATCCAGATGTGACTTGACTGCAAGCTTGTTTTACAGGGAAAGAAAATGTGAACGTTTAAAATCAGATTGTTTTTGTTGTTGTTGTGAGTGACGATGACGTCTGTGACTCTAAAGGAGGTGATCCGAAGTCGATGAGTGTTTGCCTCCACCAGCCCAGAGGCAGATAACAAAAAATAATCCCGTAGACTGGCTCAACAGGTGAGGTGACCTGATCTGACGTGACTGAGACTGAACCAGGAGTTTACATTCCCAGTCCCAGTGCAGTGTGGGTAAAAGACACGTCTCCCCCGCTGAGATATATGTGTTTGTACCTGCCTTTTGAAGAGGAGGAGACGTCCATGCTGGGTTTAAAAAGCAATCGTCGTGTGTTGAGTTCAGGTGGACGGAGCCGCGTTGAAGACGAGCTCGGGTCCTGTGAGTCCCAGCGGCCGCACGGAGCGACTGAAGCTACTGGAGTGTTGATACTGTAAGACAATTTGTGCTGTTGTAGTTCTGTGGTTCGTCAGTGTAGAAATGTACCTTCACACTGATTCGCTGACAGCTGCGTCTTGTCCTCCCAGGTGTGTCTCTGTTTACCTGTCTGTCCCTTTAGCACTTCCTGTGTGAACTGGACCAGCTGTCTGTTTCCCGCTGCTTTTCATTCCCTGATCTGAGCTCTGTCGTTTTCATTCTCTGCTACTTCCCAGCTTCATAACGCTGGCTCCTCCTCATCGATGAAGCTGATGTGCTCCGTGGAGGACTTGCCCTCCTCCACCTGTCGCCCCCACTCCTGCATCTCCAGCTCCTGGGGAGGACGAGCGGCAGGCCTGGCCTCCCTGTGGCGCAGCTGTGACCTGCACCAAGGGGGAGTCTGGGTCCCTCCCTGCCTTCTCCTCGCACTGACAGAGTCCAGAGACAAGGGCAGGGAGATGGTGGAGGGGTGGAAGGAGACGGCGGGGGAGACGAGAGGGGCGGAGGGGGTGGGTCTCATCCGGTGGTCTCCAGGGGAGGATGAGAGCGACGGGGGAGCTGAGCAGTGGGAGGATGGGGGAGGGGGGGTGTCCTGGGAGGGAGGTGGGGGAAGCAGGCCTCTGCTGGCACAGCTGGCAGGTCGGGACGGGTGGGGGCCTTGGCAGGGGGAGATGGACGGTGAGGAGGCGAGAGACATGGAGAAGGAGAGAGAGGGTGACGGGGTGTGCGAGGCATGGGGAGGCTGGTCCTGCAGCAGGGGCAAAAATATCCCGTTACTGGAGGAAGCGTGGAGGCTGGAGGGCGCCGGGGGTCCGTCAGGAAGACCATCTTCAGGTGAGAGAAGGTCGGAGTGTACGGGACCGATGATTCTGCCCCCTGGGGATTTGGACGGGGGCTGTGGCGGAGATGAATTAGGCCGTTTCAGTGAGTGAGGAGTTGGGAGAAGGCATCCTGGCAAATCCACCCCCTCTATGTCTCCACTGTCCAGCAGGGAATGAATGTCAGGTCTCTGGAGGGGACAAGGTGTGGCGGGGGGCGGCACCGCGAGACAGGTGTTCGTCGACAGCTGGCTGGCACTGCTAGGAGGCGGGGTTAAATTTGGCATCATGTTCATCAGGATTGGCTGCAGTGGTGCCGTTTGGAGGAGGGGCTTGAGCAGGCGAGTCATTTCCTGCAGCTCCTGACTGAGCTTGGAGACTTGTTTAGAGAGAGTGTTCATCTGTGTGGTGAAGAGAGACACACACACACACACACACACACACACACACACACACACAGAGAAGTTGAAAAATATCTGACAAAGTTCATCATTATTTGAGTCAAGTATAATCTGATACACACTTTGTACACACAATGTCCACACAGCAACACTGTCCTCAGGTAGGTAACACTCTGTGAGCTTGTACCTCTGCTAAAATAACACAATCCCTCTAAATCTGTTCTTTTAATAACAGAATTTAATTTAATTTGCATCTGGAACAAAACATACTGTACATAATGATAATAGACTGTCAGGCTGATTGGTTGATGGTGATCATGACTGTGAATGCCTAGGTGCAGGAGTGTTAAGACTTGCAATGCAAACTTTGGTGCAAAAAGTGAGTCAGAGTAATGATAAGCAAGTTATTGATTATTTAAATTGATCATGTTCCAGTAGGTGATAATCCATCACGTTTTCCCAGTGGTGGAAGAGGTAAAAGTAACAGTGCAACCATAAAGTGTGCAAAAAGAAAAGTTTTCTGGCATTCAAACTGTATTTACAAAAGGTGAAAGTAGGCTGGTGTTATTTAACCATGTTAGTTAGCATTAACTAGCAAGCTAACCTGTTTTGTCTGTTCTGAGTAACAATAAAATAGTTGATATATCAAAGTATGCGTTTAATTTCTGTCAAGAAATGCCATGTAAATGTAACTACGTATACTATGAGTTTTTTTTTTGTGCCTTACTATACTAGGACTTTTTTTGTTTGTTTGTTTTTTAAGTAAATTTTTTGGGCAGTTTTTGCCTTTATTTGGATGGGGACAGTGACATACTATACTATAACTTTTTTTGACATTTTAAGCTTTACTATACTATGACTTTTTATGCCTTACTATACTATGACTTTTTTTTTTGACGTTTTATGCCTTACTATACTATGACGTTTTTATGACACTTTATGCCTTACTATACTATTACATTTTTATGCCTTACTATACTATGACGTTTTTATGACATTTAATGCCTTACTATACTATGACGTTTTTATGACATTTTATGCCTTACTATACTATGACTTTTTTATGACATTTTATGCCTTACTATACTATGACGTTTTTATGCCTTACTATACTATGACTTTTTTATGACATTTTATGCCTTACTATACTATTACGTTTTTATGCCTTACTATACTATGACTTTTTTATGACATTTTATGCCTTACTATACTATGACGTTTTTATGCCTTACTATACTATGACGTTTTTATGCCTTACTATACTATGACGTTTTTATGACATTTAATGCCTTACTATACTATTACATTTTTATGCCTTACTATACTATGACTTTTTTCGACATTTTAAGCCTTACTATACTAAGACGTTTTTATGACATTTTATACCTTACTATACTATGATACTATACTTTATGCCTTACTTTTATGACATTTTATGCTTCATTGTACTTTGACCTTTTATGCCTTACTACTATGGCATTTTTTATGACATACTATACTATGACTTTTTATGCCTTACTATACTATGAGGCGGAAACGCAGCACAGACCTGGCCCTGACTGTGAGACTGTGTTACAAGGGTTCAAAGATTCAAGTTCCTGGGAACCCTGATATCTGATGACCTCTCCTGGACGGCCAACGCCACTGTGACGGTCAAAAAGGCAGAGCAGTGAACAGTTTCCTGAGATTGTTCAGGATGAACAGCAAGGACAGAAAGCTGCTGGTGGCCTTTTACTGCGCAACCAATGAGGGCATCCTCACATACCGCATCACTGTGTGGTACGCCGGTTACTCAGCAGCAGACAGAAGCACATCACAGAGGATAATAGACACGGCACAGAAAGTTATTTGCCGCTGGCTGCCCTCCCTGGCAGACATTGCCAGCTCAGAGAGACAGTTCTTTCCCAAAGGCCAATAACGGACTAAACATTATGCTATAATCAACAACCAACTGTTATTCATCCCACACTGTCATCTGCTCATGTGCAATACTGTATTTATTTAGTACTAATTAGTGTGCAATAACAAGACATAACTTGACCTTCCCCTTTAGACTATTCTATATTTTGACATTTGTTATTATTCTGTGTGTTGTTGTTGTTGTGTTGCAGTATTAGTATGCATCTCCTAAGGAGCTGCGCTCCAGATTTTGTTGTAGGCAGAGCTTGCAATGACAATAAAAGCTTTCAACTTCAATTTTAATTTCAATTTTTTTGTCTCTCTTCACTATAACTTTCATGCCTTACTATACTATGACTTTTTTATGACATTTTACACCTTACTACACTGTTTTTTTATTTTTTTTATTTTTATGCCTTACTATACTTGGACATTTCTATGCCTTGCTATGTTATGCCTTTTGTATGCCTAACTGTACTATATATTTTAATGCCTTACTATACTGTGTTTATCTAGAACTGCTTAGTGTGCAATACCAAGATATACCTTGACATGTGAATGTTTGTACATATTTGACCTTCATGATATATTTTGTCTTTGTTATTATTCTGTGTTGTTGTTGTGTTACAGTATTAGTAAGCACCTCTTAAGGAGCTGCGCTCCAAATTTCGTTGTATGCAGACCTTGCAATGACAATAAAAGTTTTCAATTTCAATATTAATTTCAATTTTTTTGTCCCTCTTCACTATAACTTTTATGCCTTACTATGATGTGACTTTTTTATGCCTTACTACACTGTGACTTTTTTTGACGTTTTATGCCTAACTATACTATGACTTTTTTATGCCTTACTATACTATGACTTTTTTTTTACGTTTTATGCCTTACTATACTATGACTTTTTTTTGACATTTTATGCCTATGACGTTTTTATGCCTTACTATACTATGACTTTTTTGTGACATTTTATGCCTTACTATACTATGACTTTTTTTTTATGTTTTATGCCTTACTATAATATGACTTTTTTATGACATTTTATGCCTTACTATACTATGACTTTTTTTTGACGTTTTATGCCTTACTATACTATGAC